CACCAAGTCCATAGCCATGACTCACAACCATCAAGTCCATAGCCATGACTCACAACCACCAAGTCCATAGCCATGACTCACAACCACCAAGTCCATAGCCATGACTCACAACCACCAAGTCCATAGCCATGACTCACAACCACCAAGTCCATAGCCATGACTCACAACCACCAAGTCCATAGCCATGACTCACAACCACCAAGTCCATAGCCATGACTCACAACCACCAAGTCCATAGCCATGACTCACAACCACCAAGTCCATAGCCATGACTCACAACCACCAAGTCCATAGCCATGACTCACAACCACCAAGTCCATAGCCATGACTCACAACCATCAAGTCCATAGCCATGACTCACAACCATCAAGTCCATAGCCATGACTCACAACCATCAAGTTCATAGCCATGACTCACAACCATCAAGTCCATAGCCATGACTCACAACCACCAAGTCCATAGCCATGACTCACAACCACCAAGTCCATAGCCATGACTCACAACCACCAAGTCCATAGCCATGACTCACAACCACCAAGTCCATAGCCATGACTCACAACCACCAAGTCCATAGCCATGACTCACAACCACCAAGTCCATAGCCATGACTCACAACCATCAAGTCCATAGCCATGACTCACAACCATCAAGTCCATAGCCATGACTCACAACCACCAAGTCCATAGCCATGACTCACAACCACCAAGTCCATAGCCATGACTCACAACCACCAAGTCCATAGCCATGACTCACAACCACCAAGTCCATAGCCATGACTCACAACCACCAAGTCCATAGCCATGACTCACAACCACCAAGTCCATAGCCATGACTCACAACCACCAAGTCCATAGCCATGACTCACAACCACCAAGTCCATAGCCATGACTCACAACCATCAAGTCCATAGCCATGACTCACAACCATCAAGTCCATAGCCATGACTCACAACCATCAAGTCCATAGCCATGACTCACAACCATCAAGTCCATAGCCATGACTCACAACCATCAAGTCCATAGCCATGACTCACAACCATCAAGTCCATAGCCATGACTCACAACCACCAAGTCCATAGCCATGACTCACAACCATCAAGTCCATAGCCATGACTCACAACCACCAAGTCCATAGCCATGACTCACAACCACCAAGTCCATAGCCATGACTCACAACCACCAAGTCCATAGCCATGACTCACAACCACCAAGTCCATAGCCATGACTCACAACCACCAAGTCCATAGCCATGACTCACAACCACCAAGTCAATAGCCATGACTCACGACCATCAAGTCCATAGCCATGACTCACAACCATCAAGTCCATAGCCATGACTCACAACCATCAAGTCCATAGCCATGACTCACAACCACCAAGTCCATAGCCATGACTCACAACCATCAAGTCCATAGCCATGACTCACAACCACCAAGTCCATAGCCATGACTCACAACCACCAAGTCCATAGCCATGACTCACAACCACCAAGTCCATAGCCATGACTCACAACCACCAAGTCCATAGCCATGACTCACAACCACCAAGTCCATAGCCATGACTCACAACCACCAAGTCCATAGCCATGACTCACAACCACCAAGTCCATAGCCATGACTCACAACCACCAAGTCCATAGCCATGACTCACAACCACCAAGTCCATAGCCATGACTCACAACCACCAAGTCCATAGCCATGACTCACAACCACCAAGTCCATAGCCATGACTCACAACCACCAAGTCCATAGCCATGACTCACAACCATCAAGTCCATAGCCATGACTCACAACCATCAAGTCCATAGCCATGACTCACAACCACCAAGTCCATAGCCATGACTCACAACCACCAAGTCCATAGCCATGACTCACAACCACCAAGTCCATAGCCATGACTCACAACCACCAAGTCCATAGCCATGACTCACAACCACCAAGTCCATAGCCATGACTCACAACCACCAAGTCCATAGCCATGACTCACAACCACCAAGTCCATAGCCATGACTCACAACCACCAAGTCCATAGCCATGACTCACAACCACCAAGTCCATAGCCATGACTCACAACCACCAAGTCCATAGCCATGACTCACAACCACCAAGTCCATAGCCATGACTCACAACCATCAAGTCCATAGCCATGACTCACAACCATCAAGTCCATAGCCATGACTCACAACCATCAAGTCCATAGCCATGACTCACAACCACCAAGTCCATAGCCATGACTCACAACCACCAAGTCCATAGCCATGACTCACAACCACCAAGTCCATAGCCATGACTCACAACCACCAAGTCCATAGCCATGACTCACAACCACCAAGTCCATAGCCATGACTCACAACCACCAAGTCCATAGCCATGACTCACAACCACCAAGTCCATAGCCATGACTCACAACCACCAAGTCCATAGCCATGACTCACAACCACCAAGTCCATAGCCATGACTCACAACCACCAAGTCCATAGCCATGACTCACAACCACCAAGTCCATAGCCATGACTCACAACCACCAAGTCCATAGCCATGACTCACAACCACCAAGTCCATAGCCATGACTCACAACCACCAAGTCCATAGCCATGACTCACAACCACCAAGTCCATAGCCATGACTCACAACCACCAAGTCCATAGCCATGACTCACAACCATCAAGTCCATAGCCATGACTCACAACCATCAAGTCCATAGCCATGACTCACAACCATCAAGTCCATAGCCATGACTCACAACCACCAAGTCCATAGCCATGACTCACAACCACCAAGTCCATAGCCATGACTCACAACCACCAAGTCCATAGCCATGACTCACAACCACCAAGTCCATAGCCATGACTCACAACCATCAAGTCCATAGCCATGACTCACAACCATCAAGTCCATAGCCATGACTCACAACCACCAAGTCCATAGCCATGACTCACAACCACCGAGTCCATAGCCATGACTCACAACCACCAAGTCCATAGCCATGACTCACAACCATCAAGTCCATAGCCATGACTCACAACCACCAAGTCCATAGCCATGACTCACAACCACCAAGTCCATAGCCATGACTCACAACCATCAAGTCCATAGCCATGACTCACAACCACCAAGTCCATAGCCATGACTCACAACCACCAAGTCCATAGCCATGACTCACAACCACCAAGTCCATAGCCATGACTCACAACCACCAAGTCCATAGCCATGACTCACAACCACCAAGTCCATAGCCATGACTCACAACCACCAAGTCCATAGCCATGACTCACAACCACCAAGTCCATAGCCATGACTCACAACCACCAAGTCCATAGCCATGACTCACAACCACCAAGTCCATAGCCATGACTCACAACCACCAAGTCCATAGCCATGACTCACAACCACCAAGTCCATAGCCATGACTCACAACCATCAAGTCCATAGCCATGACTCACAACCATCAAGTCCATAGCCATGACTCACAACCATCAAGTCCATAGCCATGACTCACAACCACCAAGTCCATAGCCATGACTCACAACCACCAAGTCCATAGCCATGACTCACAACCACCAAGTCCATAGCCATGACTCACAACCATCAAGTCCATAGCCATGACTCACAACCACCAAGTCCATAGCCATGACTCACAACCACCAAGTCCATAGCCATGACTCACAACCACCAAGTCCATAGCCATGACTCACAACCACCAAGTCCATAGCCATGACTCACAACCACCAAGTCCATAGCCATGACTCACAACCACCAAGTCCATAGCCATGACTCACAACCACCAAGTCCATAGCCATGACTCACAACCACCAAGTCCATAGCCATGACTCACAACCACCAAGTCCATAGCCATGACTCACAACCACCAAGTCCATAGCCATGACTCACAACCATCAAGTCCATAGCCATGACTCACAACCATCAAGTCCATAGCCATGACTCACAACCATCAAGTTCATAGCCATGACTCACAACCATCAAGTCCATAGCCATGACTCACAACCACCAAGTCCATAGCCATGACTCACAACCACCAAGTCCATAGCCATGACTCACAACCACCAAGTCCATAGCCATGACTCACAACCACCAAGTCCATAGCCATGACTCACAACCACCAAGTCCATAGCCATGACTCACAACCACCAAGTCCATAGCCATGACTCACAACCATCAAGTCCATAGCCATGACTCACAACCATCAAGTCCATAGCCATGACTCACAACCACCAAGTCCATAGCCATGACTCACAACCACCAAGTCCATAGCCATGACTCACAACCACCAAGTCCATAGCCATGACTCACAACCACCAAGTCCATAGCCATGACTCACAACCACCAAGTCCATAGCCATGACTCACAACCACCAAGTCCATAGCCATGACTCACAACCACCAAGTCCATAGCCATGACTCACAACCACCAAGTCCATAGCCATGACTCACAACCACCAAGTCCATAGCCATGACTCACAACCACCAAGTCCATAGCCATGACTCACAACCACCAAGTCCATAGCCATGACTCACAACCACCAAGTCCATAGCCATGACTCACAACCATCAAGTCCATAGCCATGACTCACAACCACCAAGTCCATAGCCATGACTCACAACCACCAAGTCCATAGCCATGACTCACAACCACCAAGTCCATAGCCATGACTCACAACCACCAAGTCCATAGCCATGACTCACAACCACCAAGTCCATAGCCATGACTCACAACCACCAAGTCCATAGCCATGACTCACAACCATCAAGTCCATAGCCATGACTCACAACCATCAAGTCCATAGCCATGACTCACAACCACCAAGTCCATAGCCATGACTCACAACCACCAAGTCCATAGCCATGACTCACAACCACCAAGTCCATAGCCATGACTCACAACCACCAAGTCCATAGCCATGACTCACAACCACCAAGTCCATAGCCATGACTCACAACCACCAAGTCCATAGCCATTACTCACAACCACCAAGTCCATAGCCATGACTCACAACCACCAAGTCCATAGCCATGACTCACAACCACCAAGTCCGATGCATGTATGTACCTGCAGTCCCACAACCTCACCACCACCCCCCTCCTCCCTTCATCCCTTCCTCCCTACTTCCCATCCGTCCCTTCTTTCCCTCCACCACCTCCATCTCTCCCTTTCCCCTTTCCCTTCTCGTCTCCCCCCACCGCCCCACCCCGCAGGCTTCCCACAGCTGCGAGTGGTGGCAGTGAGCGCCAACAAGGTGATCGGTGTCATGGGCAACGCACGCGGCGCCATCAGCACAGCAGGCTTCGCGCTCTCACGCCTGGGCGCAGCCCTCCCCGCGCGCCAGGCCATAGTCCTCGCGCTCAGCCAGTCGGGGCAGACCTTCCCCACGCTGCACGCCACGCGCATCCTCGCCAAGCACTGCCCCGGCCGAGTCTTCGTCTGCACCGGCATGCTCGACTGCAAAATGGCCACGGCTGTGGGTCTGTCTCTTGCCGCTGCTTCTGCTGCGGGCAGCGATGGCGCGTGGTGCGCGCGTGTGTTGCACACGCATGCAGGGTGGCGGTCTGCTGAGCCGGCAACGGTGTCAGCAGTGGCGTGCCATGCGACCCTCACAGAGCTGTTACTGCATGCTGCACGCACTCTCAGAAGCAACGCGGATTCCGCCAAGCTTGCCACTGAGCTCGGCGCACAGACCGCCACCGGCGTGGGCGCAGGCAAGGGCGCAGGGGGAACCACGGGCGGCGAGGGAGGCGCGGGAGGGGGGAGTGATGGGGTGGCGCGGCGGTGGGTGGAGCGGCCGCTGGGGCTGCGGTTGAGCGGGGGGGATGTGGCGGACTTGGAGCGCATGCGCGATGCCGTGGTGATGAAGAGCGCTCCTGACATTGTTGGGTGGACGCCAAGAGGTCACCGCGTGCACTCCCCGGTTAACTCCGCTCTCCGGACTCAGGGGCTCCTGGTGGGTGCAGGGGGGGATGGTGGGTGCAGGGGGGGATGGTGGGTGCAGGGGGGGATGGTGGGCGCAGGGGGGGATGGTGGGTGCAGGGGGGGATGGTGGGCGCAGGGGGGGATGGTGGGTGCAGGGGGGGATGGTGGGCGCAGGGGGGGATGGTGGGTGCAGGGGGTGATGGTGGGTGCAGGGGGGGATGGTGGGTGCAGGGGGGGATGGTGGGCGCAGGGGGTCATGGTGCGGATGTACTCATGGCATGTACATGGATAATATAATCGTGCAGCTGAATCGAATCAGTAATGCCCGTGGTGCTACTGTATCCTCTGCCTCCCCCCCCTACAACCTCTTCTGTGTTCCCTGTGGGCATGGCTTGCTTGACTTGAGGCGCCAACGACATGCGCCATCATCTCCCTTCACATCTACCCCCGAGGACGCACATAACCTAGCTTCAACATCCCTTCCCCGCTCCTCGCTCCCCCCGTCCGTCGCCCCTCGGGTAGTGGGCGCTGCACGTGTTGGAGACGCCCATGGCATGGGCCATCAGCTCGCTCTACGTCAACCCAAGCACGCACCTAACCTAGCTACAACCACCCTTTCCCCCCTCCCCCCCACACCTCTCGTTCTCCCCCCGCAGTGGGCGCTGCACGTGTTGGAGACGCCCATGGCATGGGCCATCAGCTCGCTCTACATCTTCATAGCTGTGGTGTTCGCCGTGCCCATCTTCACCTCCATCGCCAAGGCCATCCCCACTCACAGTCAGCTCCCTTCCCTTCCCTTCCTCCGCACCACTCGCGTCCGTCTCCTCTGCCATCTCGCCACCGCACACACACACGCACGCACGCGCACGCACGCGCAACACGCGCAACACGCCCACGCCCACGCCCACGCCCACGCACACGCATGCCCGTGTGGCACCCGCTTTCGCACTAGAGCTTTCCTCTATTCTGTTCCAGACGATCACATGTTCCATACGCATCTACCCTGTGTGCCCCCATATTCCATGCACTTCGTGCCTCCTCTCAAATCCCAACCTTGAACCTTACTCCACCCCAACCTTCCCCCCACTTCAACCTCCCCCCCCTCTCCCCCACCCAGGCACCACAGCAGCAGACGCGCTACTCTACACACCGCGCGCATTGGACGCCCTCCTCTTCTGCTTCTTCCCGCTCCTCGTCTCTCTGCCTCTGAACTCCCACCCTTCCCTCCAATCTCCCCTCCTTCCCCAGGCACCACAGCAGCAGACGCGCTACTCTACACAGCGCGCGCACTTGACGCCCTCCTCTTCTGCTTCCTCCCGCTCATCATTGCCCTCCCTCTCCGCATCCTCACCGGCCGCGACCTCCTAGCCCGCCTCGGCAAGCGCACAGTTGTCATAGCAGACGTGCCGTGGGTGCACCAGTCCCTCGAAGTCTACGTATCCAAGCTCTTCGCTCTCAGCTACTGGGTGGCTGGGCTGGACGTGCACGGAGCGAGCCCCATAGATCACCTCGTGCATCGGTTTACGCACAGAGTGTGCCGCGGCACGCTGCTGGCGTTTGGGCGCCCGGATGGGAGGTTGTGCTCGCAGTCGCGGTGTGAGAGCTGGGTGCTCATGGCGCTGCTGCAGGCGCGGACCATCGTCAGCCTGGGGTGCGGTGCTGAGGTCATCACTGTTGGTGCGTATAAGGGGGGAGGACGAGGGGGGAGGGGGGGAACGGAGTGGGGGCAAGAGGGGAGGAGAGGGAGGAGGAGGGGTAAATGCCTTATGTCGGAATATAAGATTGCCCTTCGATACCCCTTGTTTTGATTCCACCCCAAGTACAAGATTTTTTGCGTCCCACTTTCCTTTAGCATCTCGGCGCTGAACCTCATCACACCCTTGCCCACCCAATCCCCCCTCCCCCTCTCCCTCTCCTTCGTCCCCCTCCGCCCCCCCCACTCTTTCCAGGGCACAACCCGTACCACGCGCGGTCGCTGGTGAAGCGGCACGTGGTGCTGCCGTCCAACCCCACTTCTCTCCTCCCACCCCTCACTTCCTCTCCCCCCCCCCCCCCCCCACCTTCTCTCCTTCCACCCCCGTCCCTTCCTTCCCATCCCCCCGCTCCCACCTTCTTATCCCCCCCTCGCCCCCCCTGCTTCCAGGGCACAACCCGTACCACGCGCGGTCGCTGGTGAAGCGGCACGTGGTGCTGCCGTCCAACCGCCCCAAGTTCCTGTGCGAGAAGCTGCTGGGCGTCGACGACCTTGAGCCCGTGCGTGCCCTGGCAGATGGGGGAAGAGGGGAGGGGGGAAGCCGGAGGGCAGAGTAGAGGGCAGAGCAGGGAAGGGGAGGGGTGGCATGGCAGGGCAGGGCCGGGCAACCGCCCCAAGTTCCTGGCGAGAAGCTGCTGGGCTGGGTGTTGATGACCTTGAGCCTGTGCGTGTGCGCACAGGGAAACTGAGGGGAGGGGAAGGCAGTGCAGGGCGAGGGCAGGGTAGGGGGAGGGCAGGGCAGGGCAGAGCAGGGATGCACCGGAGCCTTGTGAAGGACTGCTGGTGCTGATGCATGCTAAGACGTGACTCATTATGCTTTCCCTTCCTCGATAACTCCCCCCTCTCCCCCTCCTCCCACTTCCCCCCACCCCCCTCTCTTCCAGACCCCCCTTTCCACTCCGAATGTGTGCCGCCTTCTCCCCTCATTGGGCATCAGGTGAAGCGCTGGCAGGCAACGAGGGAGCACATTACAGTCGATTCATACGCCACCTTGTCTTTTCCCTTCCTTTCCTCCATTCCCTCCCTCATATCTATCCCCTTGTTGGGGCATCAGATGAAACGCATGGCAACGAGGGAGCACGTAGTCTCCACAACAACCGGCAAGAACCTCTTTGAGACACTTGACTCTCAGGTACGCTGCAGCACACCCGCCAGCACACCTGCCAGCACACCTGCCAGCACACCTGCCAGCACACCTGCCAGCACACCTGCCTCTCTACTGCCATTGCATCAATGCCTGCGCATACCCCCACGCCACCACCTCACATCCGCCACACCGCCCCACATGAGCACCCTCCCCCGCCAACCCCCCATCCCACCTGCTCTCCCTTTGCCAAGCACGCCCGTTGGCTGTGCTGTGCCCCATCTGTCGCTCACCTCGACACTTCTTCCCTCCCTGCTGCTTTGGCAAGCGTCTGTGAAACCCCCTCTCATTCCACCATCAACCCGCGCTTGCTTCCCTCCCTGCCCTGCCCCCTATGGCTGTGGCGTGCAGGTGGTGGGGCTGCATCTGTGCGACGAGGGCACGGTGCAGAAAGCCAGAAAGCTCGGGGTGAGTGCGATGGTGGTGCGCGGGATGGTGAAACGACTGGAATGGGGTTTGAAAGGGGTGGGATGGCAGAAAGGGTGGTGGGGGAGCAGTTGAGGGTGGCAGTGGTTCTTGGGCTTCCTCGTGTGCATGTGATGTGATACACTCATGCCATCATTGCACTGGATCAGCTGCTGCCACATCTTTCCCCACCCCACTCACTCTACAACCTTTCACCCTCTCGCTCCTCCAAATCATCCCCCATTTGACCCCACTCCCTTGTACCCAACCTCTCTACCCAACCCCTCCTCCCACCCCCTATGCTCCCCCTCTTCCCAACCGTTCTCTCCACCATTCTCCCCACCCTCTCTTCCCCCACCTCCCTCCTCCCCCCCCAGCTGTCCATGCTAGCGCACGGCATGAGGGACATCAGCACAGCAGATGCAATCTTTGAGTCGACTCAACCCACCCACCCCCCCTCTCTCTCTCCCCCTCTCCCCTCTCCCAAGTGTCCATGCTAGCGCACGGCATGAGGGACATCAGCACAGCAGATGCAATCTTTGAGTCGACTAAACCCACCCACCCGCCCTTCCCCCCCTCTCTCTCTCCCCCTCCCCCCCCCTCCCCAGCTGTCCATGCTAGCGCACGGCATGAGGGACATCAGCACAGCGGACGCAGAGGACCCGGGGAACCGAGAGGCCATTCTGAGTGCGCTGGGCGGGGACGTGAACAACCTGCTGCACTCGCAGGCGCCCATCGAGGACATCTGTGAAAACCGCTTCCTCTCCCTCGAACGCCTCATCGCCTTCCACGTACTGCCCTGCCTGCCCCTCGCCGCCCCCTTCTTTCCCACCCTCCCTCTCCGCCCCCCTCCCCCGCCCCGCCAAGCCCCATCCTGCCGCGTCCTGTCATGCGTCATCCACCCATAGCTGTGCTGCCCTTCCCCTCCCTCGGTTTCCGCTTTATTTTCACTCGTTCCTGTGACCTTCCCTGCTGCATGTCAACTCACCTCACAACTAGCATGCATCCTGGCGTTGTCTGCCCGTCCATTTCATCACCTTTCTTCTCTCGAGTTAACTGTTTCTCTCCCTCACCCCTCTGTGCACGTGTTTCAAAGAGCTCTCAAACCACCTTCCTTCCATCGCATGGCATAGGTAGTGGCATCTCTGCCACCGCTGCGCTTCAACATCGCACAGTCGCAGTCACATTCCCACTCGCACCCTCACCTCATGTCTGCTGCCCTGCACCCTGCCTCTGTGCCCCACCCTCCCCTGCTCGCTCCCACCCACACACCTGAACCATATAGGTGCTCTTCCATCGCATGGCATCAGTAGTGGCATCACTACCACCACTGCGCTTCAACATCGCACAGTCGCAGTCGCGCCTGCGCATCGCCACCACGGCCGCCCCTGTCTCCGCCGCAGACCTCGAGAGGGAGTGGCTGGACAGCGTTGCAGACACCACCATGCATGACCTTACCTTGCACCGCCGCACCCGCCACCACCACCACGTTCCACTCCTCCCCCACCCACACCACCACCACCATCACCATCACCATCACAACCATTCGTATCATGGAGGCACGTCCCTGCACATCCCCTCGCCGTTCTTTTCTTCTGGCTCCACCTCTGGCCAGCACCACTCGCACCAGCACCAGCACTCGCACCACGGTGTTTCTCACAGAATCTCCGAAACGCTGCATCACCTGCTGCCGCTGCACCTGCCCACGAGCCACTCTGCTGCCGCCAACGCCAACACCACGCCAGCGTACACACAGCAGCACACCCCCTCCAGTTCACACACCAGTCACACAGAGCACCGTGTGGGGGGGTCATACCATGGTGGCGGCGGGGGTGGGGGGTCGATGCGGGGCGGGTCCCACCACGGCTCGTCTCACCACGGGGGCTTTTTCCGCTCCATCCTGCCCCTCAGGTCTCCCTCCGCTGCCTCTGCCAGTGGTGGCTTTGGCCGCAGCGGCAGCGGCGGCGGCGGCGGTGGCGGTGGTGGTGGTGGTGGAGGCAAGTTTGTCACACAGAGCTCTGGCGCTGGAGGTGCTGCTGCCGAGAGCCCACGGCAAGCCATGGATGAAGGCTCTGGTGCTGGTGGTGTGGAGGGGTCACATGGCAGTGCCTCGGGGCGGGGAGGGCGGGTGAGCTTTGACGTGGGAGCTGAGCAAAGCGCAGATGCACGCATGCGGCGCCTGAGTGTGGATGTCACTCCAGGCAGCTCCCTGCGCGGAGGCATGGCGGGCGGGGTGACGTTCGGGGCCTGGCCTGCAGGTATGGGCAGCAGCGCTAGTTCTGCCATGCCACCGAGTGGTTCGGTGGGGAGTGCGACGCGAAGCAGAGCGGTGATAGGGGTAGATGTGTTTGATAGTGGTGCCGAGGGGGGTGCTGTGCGCTTGGGGGTTTCTCCTGGAGCTCTGCCTAAGGTGGAGGAGGCAGGGGGGCAGTCGCTGCGGGAAGAGAAGGGGGGTGAAGGTGCAGGGAAGGGCCAGGCAGGTGGAGGTGAGGAGGGGGAGGGTGCGTTGACAGAAGCAGTGCGCGGTGGGGAGAGGAAGGTGAAGGGAGGAGGGGAGATTCTTCGGCTGCTGAAGGAGACGTGATCGGGGGGGGGGGGGGGGGGGGGGGGGGGGGGTGTTGTTCAGTACCGGTACCGTCATCGCCCGGATAGAAGACATATATGTCTTATCTTATACATTGGAAAAAATGCTTGCTGTGTCTTATATTTGGGACGGTTTGGGGTGTCTTATAATTCTTATAAATAGGCAAAATATATAAGAACCATGTAACATTCGGAAAGACTGTAGAAACCACCCACGGGGCGGATTAATTGAAAACAGCCACATTTTGATGCGATTCATGCGCCGCCACCTCGTGCCACGTGATGAGAAGCATCAATGCTGCTTGTGCTGGCAGAATTCCGCCCTGCTGGCAGCATCTCATGATGCTTCTAGTGTCGTTTTGCTGCCAGCAGGGAATAGAGCCTTCTAGAACGCTGCCAGCAGCACGATGGCAGCATCCTGCCATCCTGAGTTGTCCTCTACGAGCAAATTTGCCGTAGAGGAGCGGCTCGTCTTCCAAGGGGGGGGGGGCACTCTGGAATGGGGGGTAGTCGAGGTTGAGCTTCATTTTTTGCTCGTGAAACTCGAAAGTGGCTCAATCTTAGCTCTAAGCAGGCTCTATCATGCGTAGTAAGCATCCTGCAAGCGCGCCGTCTCCTCTCCCTAATGTCCATGTTACCAACTATGGGCGCATCAACTCGCCCGGTGACGACATCCGGGTAGACATGGCGAAAGAGAAGCGCCAACCGGCGGGGAGCTCCAACGCCGGCTCTGGCGCAAGTTGTGACGAGGAAGAGGGCAACGAAGACGCCGGCGACGAAGATCATGGCGACGAGGACGAAGAGGACTGGCCGGAAAACGGCCACGACGACAGCGCATCTGGTGACGAGGTGCCTGCCGGAGGCATCGACGATGACGACTGGTGGATGCAGCCGATAGGCTGCGGCGACGATGTGGAGGAGTGGCACGCCGGCGACGATGACGATGACGGAGGCGCGGATGCGGTTGCTGATGCGGCGGCGGATGCGACGGTAGAAGCTCAGGCGGCGGGTGCAGATGCGGAGGCGGAAGCAGATGCGGATGCGGAGGCGGATGCAGATGCGGATGCGGAGGCGGATGAAGATGCGGATGCGGAGGCGGATGCAGATGCGGAGGCCGAAACAGGCGCAAATACGGCTGCTGTTGTGGTGGCGGAGGCGGGTGATGGCCGTGATGCTGTCTTCTTCGAAGGCGAGGACGACGCGGACGACCCATGGCGCGTCTCGTCAGATGATGACGTGCCTCTGTTGAAGAGGCGGCTGCGTCACAGCCTAGGCGTGTCCCGGAAAAAAACCCGGGTGCTGCTCTCGGACGACGACAGCCCGGATGAGGAGCGGCGACCCCGCGTCCCTGCTGCTGACAAGGGGAAGGCTAAGGTGGTTGAGGTTCCTGCTAAGGTCGCCCCTCGCGTCGGACAGAGCAAGAAGAAGTGGAAGGACGATGGCGACCCGGGTTCAAGCAAAGGCGCGAAGAGGCAGAAGAAGAAGGCTGTCAAGAACAAGGACGACATCTTGGTAAACGAGGCGCAGGGCAGTGACGACGACTACGCGGAGGCTGCAGGCCCCATGCCTTCATTCCCTGAGAAGGCGAAGCCAAAAGACCCCACCATCTGTAATGCTAACTCCCGCCCCCCTTCCCCACGCAGTCGCGGGATTAAACGGACCAGGCGGAGCTGGTCCGTGCGCGAAAAGGTGAAGTGGGCGCGTCGCTACGCGGAGCTCGGCTCCCTCAAGAAGACCTCGGCCGAGTCTTCGGCGAGCATCGCGTGCATCAGACGCTGGAGCGCGCAGGCTGCAGCGGGCATGTACAAGGGCGCTGCGAATTCTCGCAAGCGCATGCATGGGGCAGGCCGCCACTCACACCACCCCGACATGGAGGCGGCGCTGTACCGATACATCTGCCTGCATCGCGCGAATGGGGTGGCGATCTCGGTCAAGGACACGCAGAAGTGGAGCCGGGAGTGGATGAAGAAGCACCACCCCGGGAAGAACTGGAACGCGAGCTCCCACTGGAGCCAACGTTTCCGCGACCGCTGGAATCTCGTCATGCGGGTGAAGACAAAGGTTGGTCAGCGGTTGTCGGCTGGTGAGTGGTTCTAGGCTGTGAATTCACTGCGCATTGTCAACTCCTTGTCCTTACCACGATATAAACTTGCATATCCCGACTCATCCCATCCTTGTGTGTGTTCTTTTGCCTTGGCAGAATGCGCAAAAGACTGCGAGTCTTTTTGGAAGTTCGTCAGGATCAACAGGGCGCGGCACAACATCGACCCAAGCCGCATCATCAATGCGGATCAAACGCCCCTCTTCGTTGAAATGCCGGCCGAGAGGACCCTTGACCACCGTGGTGCGCGCTCGGTCCCGATCCGCACGGCCGGCTACGAGAAGACGCGGCTGACAGTGATGCTCGCGTGCACGGCATCCGGGGAGAAGCTGCGGCCGTGGGTTTGGTTCAAAATGAAGAACGTGCCGAGGTGTGACGTCCCCGCTGGTGAGCTAAACGAATTTGGGTTTAGGGAGACCACCGTGGCCCTGTTTGGCTCACTCCCCTATCTCCCTATGTGCCTGGCAGGAGTGGTGGTCCAAGCACAGGACAACGGTTGGATGGACGAGACCGCTGTGCAGACTTGGCTGACGAAGGAGGTGCTGCCTCATCTCAACCCCCAGCGGGGCCAGTGCGCACGGCGTGCGATGCTGGTTCTGGATTCGTACCGCGGCCACATCACCCAGGGCATGCTTCGCGCCTATCGCACGCACAGCATCACTCCGGCTGTAATCCCTGCAGGTTGCACCAGTCAAATTCAACCACTTGACGTTTCCATCAACCAGTGTTTCAAGGCCGGGGTGCGAGCTCGCTACGCTAGGTGGTTCATGCGTGAAGGCCTTTACCTGAAGACGAAGAACGGTGAGTCCACTGTCGGTGATCAGTAAATGCCTGCCAGTGTAGCTCTTGATGTACGGTATCTGACGGCACGTTTGCTCTGAATGTGACCCACCCGCAGGGAACCTGAGGAGACCCCCGCATCCCGTGGTGCTGCAGTGGATAGCGGAGGCGTGGGATCAAGTCCCTAGGCAGGTGATCATTGACGCGTTCCGTCACTGCGGCATCTCAAGCAAGCTGGATGGGACCGAGAACCATCTGGTGATGTCCCACCTGCGCGCCAGGAGCACCACCGATGTCACCGAAGACATGTGCCTCGGGGGCACCACGGGCGACAACACGCGCCTGCTTGGGAAGGCTCCCGAGGAGGAGGAGGAGGAGGAGATGCAGGCGGAGGGCGTGAAAGAGGTGGCCGTGGCCACCGGCCTGGAGGTGCTGTACCAGGAGACCCCTCACTACCGGGGAGCGGCGGCCGAGGCTGACCGCATGATCGAGCCCGTGCAGACAGCCAGGCACGCCTGGCGAGTGCCAGACTTGGGGATGCAGGAGCCACCATCTACTAGTGCAGATGAGGGCGTAACAGAGGGGGGCTAGGTAGAAATAGTAAGATTGGATAAATGCATGCATGTACCCCCCCACCCCTGAATGCAAGAACCGATTATAAGACACCCACCCCCTTTATAAGGAAACCCTAAACCCTAGCACTGTTTAGTAGGCACTGTCTTAAGTCGTACACGCTTGTAGGTGGCTTATAATCGGAAGCACCCAACTATAAGAAACACCCGTATTAAAGACACCCCCTGTCTTCAATTCGACACTGTCTTCTATCCGGGCGATGACGGTAGCGAATAATTTAGACTAGAAAAGGTGGTTAAGGATAGCATTACATTCAACGACTAAGATTATGACTGGTTATTCATAAGTGTTGTCATGGTGTTGCAGATTCAAGTGCTATTGCTGATGACAGAAATGGTACCGTAGGCCTATCACACTCTGCTCGGCACACATACAGTACCGGTATGCAAGAACTGCTGGTACTGGTACTACCAGTAAGCCTCACAGATTCTCGGAGTGTTTGAGTGTTTCAAATGGTAGAGTTCGAATCCCTCCCTACATCATGCGCACTACACTACATGCCCGCGCACCCGGCCAGTCAAGTGAAGGCGCGCCTCATGAGGCGCTGTGCTGGTCCCTCCCACAGCAGGAAGATGGCGAGAGCAGCCAGCCAGAGGCACCACCCTCAGGGCAGCGAGGTGCAGGGAGAGCACTCCGCTCTTGTTACAAAAGCAGTGTCCATGTCGTGCAGATTCAAGCACTGGAAATGGACGGCCATGCTGCCTGCGCAGTGCGCCCGTACGGTGCGCATTCATAAGCCTCACATGAACTATATTACTACAGCACCCGCCGTGTTTAGGCAAAAGGACCCGGCATGCTCGCACTCCCGACCAGTTACGTGGAGGTCTCCCGGTCCCACAGCAGAAAGATGGCGAGGGCAGCCAGAGGAACCACCCCCACAGCAGCGAGCTGCAGGGCATGCTCCGTGTCTACTGTTATCACTCCTATACGCGACCAGTCGCCGCTGTACCTGCACGGTGCCGGGGAGAAGTGCGCGGGGTTGGGGGGGGAGAGGATGAGTGAGGGAGGGGTCAGAGGGGAGTGCGTGTGAGCCCTGTCTGTCAACAGCACTAGTCATACTCAGCTTGCAACTTATGTGGTCAATTGTTCTAAAAGTACATATGTTAGAGCCCTAGCGGAAGATATATCGTTATCCTTGCATAGTTTAGGATTTGTGGTAGAATTGCGTCACCCCTATGCGCGCCCAGTCTCCGCTGTACCTGCACGGTGCCAGGGAGAGGCGCGCGGGAGGGGGGGGGGGGGGGAGAAAGGTTGACTTGAGGGAGGGCTCAGAGGGGAGTGCGTGAGGGCCCTAGCAGCAGCACATGCTCTACCACCATGCGCGAGAGCGCTATCTGCCAGCAGCGAGCTGCATGGCGGCAGAGCGAGACGCGTGGGGCGGAGAGTGGGTGAGTGAGGCTTCAGTGTAGTGCGTGCGTGAAAGCTCTGCATGACAGCTCTGCGTGACAGCAGCGCGGTGGTGAGCTGAGCTGGACCTGTCGCTTAAGTACTTGCGGGGAGGGGACCTTTCGCACTGTAGGCTGAGGGCTTGTTCATCCGTCTTCGTCAAGCCACACCCTACTCCGCCGCGCCCGTCGCATCCCAGCAACCGCACAGCCGCTCGCACAGCCGCTCGCACAGCCGCTCGCACAGCCGCTCGCACAGCCGCTCGCACAGCCGCTCGCACAGCCGCTCGCACTGCCGCTCGCACAGTCGCACGCACTGCCGCACGCCTCTCGCACAGTCGCTCGCACAGTCGCTGAACATCGAATCAGAGCGGAACACCCCACCCGCCGCGTCCCAGCACGCCCCCAACGTCTCGCTCACCCAGCATCGACAAATCCCGCAGTGGCCAGCGCGATGGCGGCCTGCCCCGCCACCTTGGGCCGCACGCGCCATCCCGCGCTGCTCGCTCCGCCCTCGCCGCTCGCTCCGCCCTCGCCGCTCGCTCCGCCCGCACGGCTCTCCCGATCGCCCTCGGGAGGCTCTTGATTCGCTGCGAGACAACGCGCCGAGCGAGTGTGTCGAGAGGTACGGGCGGAGGAGGCAGGCAAGTTGGCAGGTGGGCTGCACGCGAGGCAGAGCGGGGACGCAGTGACGTGCCAAGCAGGCAATATTGCCGCCATGTCTGTGACTAGCGTTTGTGGTGGTCCGTGATGGTAGGGATATATAGTTGCACCACGCGTGCGTAGCAAGTTCCACTGTACTCCTGGCTTCGTGTCATCCCATTTTCGGGTTGCGGAGCACTCTAAAAGCAGATTTATTTTCGGGATATTCTCCGTTTTCCGCTTGGAAGTTTTTTACACATTTTTGGGTTGCTGTTACGGGTGCAATGAATCGACGTAGCGAGAATTGCACTAAGGTGTCAAACGAGTACAAAATGTGAGCGAAGGCATGAGCGAACATTTATATGCGAAACATGCAAACGGTAATCGCGGTGCGTGCGAGCTAGCTAGTGCTACGCTGGAGCGAGGCTCGGGCTAGTTCCGAAGCGTAGGCCGACACGACAAGGCCAGCAGTGCGATGTTTGGTGAAACAGTGCGCGCGAAGTCGGCGAAGCCCGGTTAGCAGTAACGGGTGAACAAAGACTATTGCTGTACGCGATGTAGTCGGGCTCCGTAAGGAATGCCGAGAAAATTCCTTACACTACCCCCCCTCTCAAGAAGCCCCCTCCACTACGCGAGTGCATGTATATCGCGGAATCCCCGCCTCCTCAGGTACACTTGCAGGGCAGGGTGGTTTTCAATGTTGGCCAAGGGCACCCAGCTATCTTCAGTTGGCGTGCGGTCCTTCCAGCGAACGAGGAATTCAATCCTCCTGATTCCCGTGGGGTGGCGAATCCGATGACTCATAATTTTTTCGGGCTCGATGATCGGCTCTGAAGCAGGGCGAGTCATGGATGGCGGGCGGTGGCGAGGCAGTTGGTTTGTGGTTGGGATCTATGGGCGAAGCAAGCTGACGTGGAACGAAGGGCTGATGTACCAGTCGGTTGGTAATAGTAGGTGCGCGGTTAGGTTACTGGCGTGATCATGTGGCTGATTTGGAATGGGCCACAGTAGCGCGGTCGAAGTTTTGGTACGACGGGCAGTCGCAGATTTTGCGTGTCGAGCAGTACGTAATCCCCTGACTGGTATGTGACTGGGCAGCGGTGGCGGTCAGCGTTGCGCTTAGCGATGACGTTCGCTTTTTTAATTGCTTCTGCGGCTCTGGTGCGGGCAACTTGCAGAATTTCGGCAAATTGCTGTGCGCGTGGTGTTGGGTTGTCCGGACTCGGCGTCATGGGCACTGTAGGATTTTGCCCGTAGTTCAGGTAGAAGGGGGACTACTGCGTCATCGCTGACGTGGCGTTGTTGTACGCGAACTCGATCAGCGGGTGCTGCTGCTCCCAAGTCGTGGGGTCGTCGCACGTTGCACGAATCAACTGCTCCATCGTCTGATTTGTCTGCTCCGTTTGACCGTCGGTCTCGGGGTGGTACGACGAACTGAACTGCAGCCTGGTTCCGAACTGCTCCCAGAGGTTCTTCCAGAAGTTGCTGGTGAACTTCGTATCCCTGTCGCTGATAATCGTTGCTGGTATCCCGTGCAGGCGAACAACGGTTGCGATGAACAGACGAGCGGTCTCCTCGGCTGAGATCGACTTTTTGCACGCAGCGAAGTGTGCCATCTTCGTCAACCTGTCAACGATGACCATCACCGCGTCGTTATCCCCAGGGTTCGAAGGTAACCCTGTGACGAAGTCCATGGTAACCTGCCGCCAGGCGCGCTCGGGCGGTGGTATCGACTGCAATTGACCCGCCTTCCGCTTCCTCGAGCTCTTCATCACCTGACACGTGGGGCACGAGCCCACATGCTACTGTACGTCGGTCAGTAGTTGTCAGATTTATATGACATAGTTGCTGTAGGCTATAGTGGGGTAGCACATATGGGGTACAGGGTTTCTAGGGTTGTATTTGTACCCAATCTTTCCTTAGTCATTCGATCCCTGTTCACTTGTTTCACATGGTATAGAGCGGGTCCTTCCTAAGGACCGTTTTTTTAGGGCCCACCGAAGCGCGCCCCGAGGCGCGCATTTTTTTTAGCGACCCCTCGGGTCGCCATTTCCCTCGCGGCCCCGCTGCCCCTCCTGATCGCGGCCCCGCCGCCTCCACTGACGCGGCCCCGCCGCCGGCTCTGACGCGGCCCTGCCGGCCCGCCGCTGCACCTGACGGCTCCGCCGCTGCACCTGCCGGCCCGCCGCTGCACCCTACGGCCCGCCGCTGCACCCTACGGCCCGCCGCCTCACCTGACGGCCCCGCCGCTGCACCTGCCGGCCCGCCGCTGCACCCTACGGCCCGCCGCTGCACCCAGCGGCCCGTCGTTTCACCTGACGGCCCCGCCGCTGCACCTACCGACCCGCCGCTGCACCTGCCGGCCCGCCGCTGCACCTGCCGGCCCGCCGCTGCACCCTACGGCCCGCCGCTGCACCCAGCGGCCCGCCGCTTCACCTGACGGCCCCGCCGCTGCACCTACCGGCCCGCCGCTGCACCCTACGGCCCCGCCGCTGCACCTGCCGGCCCGCCGCTGCACCGGTCGACCCGCCGCTGCACCTGCCGGCCCGCCGCTGCACCTGACGGCCCCGCCCCTGCATCTCCCGGCCGAGCCGCCCCAGCAGCAGAGCCGCCCCAGCAGCCGAGCCGCCCCAGCAGCCGAGCCGCCCCAGCAGCCGAGCCGCCCCAGCAGCCGAGCCGCCCCAGCTGCAGTGCCGCCCGAGCCGCCCGAGCCGCCGAGTCGCCCGAGCCGCCCAGCAGTCGAGCCGCCCGAGCCGCCCGAGCCGCCCGAGCCCTCCCTGCACTGCCCTGTCTGGTGAGCACTGAGCTTTACTCTGCGCACTGCCCTCTCTCTACTGCTGTCATGGCTACCCCCAGTGTCCTCGCCTTTGACGCTGAGGGCAGAGCCATTGACTTTGACGTGTGGGTAGACGACCTACTGCTTTTCCTACAGTGCGACAGAGCTGACGGACTCTCTCTCTTTGATCTCACTTCTGGTGCCTCTCCCGCCCCTGCTGCTACTGAGGATGCCACTGTTCGCTCACAGTGGGCCACACGCGATGCTGCTGCACGTCTTGCTGTGCGTCGCCACCTCCCTCCCGCTGAGCGTGCGCACTTTGGGTCGTACAAGAGTGCTAAGACCTTGTACGACGCCGTTATCGCACGCTACTCCACCCCTGCCACTGCTGCACTGAGCCGCCTCATGCTACCGTACCTCTTTCCCGACCTTGCTGCTTTTGCCACAGTCGCTGACCTCATTACCCACCTGCGCACTAGTGACGCTCGCTTCCGCGCTGCACTTCCTGCTGAGTTCTGCGCCAAGAACCCCCCCCCCCAGTACTTCACTCTCTACTACATTGTCACCCGCCTCCCTGACTCCCTTCGCGGAGTCAGGGACGACCTACTCGCAGTCTGTCCCACCACTCTCACTGTCGAGATCCTCGAGAAGTCCCTCCTCGCAGCCGAGAAGAGCATTCTCGCTGTAGGGGCCTCTCGTGGTGACCCGCGCACCCCCATCTTTGAGGGGTGTTCCCCCTCCCCCCTCCTGCCCTCTGTCGCCTCTGCTGCTACGGCCGACCTTGTTGGTTTTGAGTCGGTCGGAGCGGCGTCTGCCCCCAGCGGGAGACGTCGCTCTGGCAAGAGCAAGGGGGGCAGGGGCGGTGGTGGAGGAGGCGGGGGCGGTGGAGGCGGAGGTAGAGGCAGCGGCGGAGGTGAGGGTGGTAGCGGGAGTAGTGGCGGGAGTGGAGGTGTCGGCGGAGGCAGTGGAGGCGGGGGCGGCAGCGGCGGTGGTAGTGGGGGTGGAGGCGGAGGCGGCGGTGGCGGCGGCGACGGTGGGAGTGGCGGTGGCGGTGGAGGTGGTGGCGGCGGCGGCGGAGGAGGCGGCGGAGGTCGTGGCGCGCCGAGGAGGAGTGGCTCCGGTGGTGGTCAGCGCCAGCAGCAGCAGCGTGGTCAGGAGACCCTCTCCCCGCAGCAGCTCCGTGAGTGGTACTCTGCGCGTCAGCGGGGTGGGGGTCCTGGTCCGTGCACTTACGTCCTGCGCACTGGCGACCGTGCGGGTGAGCAGTGTGGTGGTCCACACTCCGCCCAGCGTTGCTTCGGCCGCCTGACTGACGCTTGGCGCCGCCAGTTTCCTGACGCCTCTGAGATCCCTCGCTGGGACCAGCTGTCTAGGGCTGGAGTAGCTATCTTTGATCTTGACTTTGATGCTATTCTTGCTGCTATGTATGCTGTGACTATTAGTGAGGAGGGTGACTGTTACCGGTGTTTCCCGCCCGACCCGGGCATTGGTACTGCGGCTCTAGGTGCTGTTGAGGCTGCTGCTCCAGGTGCTGGTGAGGCTGTTGCTCTAGGTGCCAGTGAGTCTGAGTCCTCAGGTGCTGGTGAGTCTGCTCTCTCGAGTACTGTGTTGACTTCACCCTCTCTCACTTTCACTCTTGACTCCGGGGCGTCTCGCTCCTTCTTTCGAGACCGCACCACACTCACGCCGCTTAGTCGGCCAGTGGCGGTCTCCTTGGCAGACCCCTCTGGGGGTCCTGTTCTGGCTCGCTACTCCACTGTCCTGCCGTGCCCTGCGGTCCCGTCTGGCGCCCTGTCCGGTCTCTACCTCCCCTCGTTCTCCACGAACTTGGTGGCGGGTGCTGACCTACAGGATGCAGGGGTTGACCAGTTCACCCCTGCGCGCCGACGAGTCACCCACTGCACGGACGCGGACACGGGTCGACACCTGACCACATTCACACGTGGTCCAGGGTCGAGCCTGTACACACTCACTGTTCCGTCTCCTTCTCCTGCGTCTGGTCAGGTAGCTGCGTCGGGTCAGGTGTTTGCTGCAGCGTCCAGGTCTGGTCCTGAGTCTGCCCCCTGCTCGTGTCGCCTCCTGTCCCACGAGACCCTCCTGTGGCACCACAGGATGGGTCACCCCTCCCTGCCTCGTCTCCGGGGCATGGCCTCTCGCCTTCTTGTCTCTGGCCTTCCCCGGTCCCTCGCTCCCCTTCCTCCGGGGCCTGGCCCTCCCTGTGTCCCCTGTGTCGAGGGTCGCCTGCGGGCTACCCCTCACTCCTCCCCGTTTCCTCCGACGGAGGCCCCGATGCAGACGCTTC